GCATGTGCAGTGATTGTTTTGTACGTATTAAAAATTACCGTCATTTGGGTTAACCAAAAATTAAATTTGTGTTTTTGCGCAAGATGTTATAAGTACGACGTTCAGACGTGTTTCCCACTTTTTATATTTACAGGTAATTGATATTTTTTTAATAGACGCATAAAATCCTTAGGAAAGGATAAAAAGGGTTTTACAAAGAAATTAAAAAAAAAAACAAAAAAAACTACAATTTAAAAAAGAAAAAAAAAAAAAAAACTTTTTTAAAAAAAAAAAAAAAACAAGTCAAAAACAAAAAAAAATACAATTTGCAGCCAATGGTAAAACAGTGCGAGTTGTGAGCACCCCCCCCCCCCCATTACCGGCTTAGCTCACGTGGCAATAATAAAGTCCGATGAAATGTGATTGCCAACTTTATGAAATTAATTATTATTTTATATTACTAACCTTTAGCTGTCCAATCAATGAGAAGAATTCCAACATTTTCCTAACCTCTGAAGCCATGACATCAGTCGTTAATGTTGTGTTGTGTTGTATGCCACCAGTGTGTTGTTTTCCAATGCCGACCTGATGACCTCTGACCGAACTGACAAGCAGAACGTTTTGTAAGTTGCCCTCTGATTGGATATTTTGTTGAGCACGACAAAATGGCTGCGCCCATGCTGCGGTGCGGCTTTGAAAGTTTCCCTCGGATATTAGGCAGAGCTCTGTCCCGAAGATCATTTTCATCGACGAACGGGAACGATTCCGACCAAACGGAGAATGAACAAACTGGCAGTGATGGAGGACTTGCCAACAACGACACTGTCGATACGCAATCAAAAGTAACAGGTTTTGCAAAAGCTTTTGTGAAACATGCAACAATACTAGATGAACCACCTCCAATGGTGGAGCCTCCAAGGTCCTTTGCCAGTATGTTCAGGAATTCTACTCTTGTCCACATCGGGGATGGTAAAGATGCCGTTGTCATCGGGAAAATATTTCACGTTGTTGGCGACGATTTATATATAAATTTTGGTGGCAAGTTTCACTGTGTTTGTAAAAGGCCAAGTATTCCCGACATTGATCCGCGGTAAGTGTTGATGTCCATAGCTAGATGTCAGTAGCTAGCCGTCACCTGTCCGCCATGCCTCGGCATTGGTGTAATTTGATGGTGTATGGGGGTGCCCTTCTTCAGCAGCATGAAGAACGTTGACCTTTCTCTCTAGAAGAGTTGTGCTATTACAATTTCTTCAAAATGATGGGGATTGGGAGAATGGTAATTAGTTCTTCTAGGTCTAGATATGGGCAAGTGATTGATGAGTGGAGTGATCACTCTTCTTAAAAAGTAAGGTCTGGTATACTTACATGTATGATTGTTAATGAACTTGCTTAATTAAACCATTTTCAACAATTTTTCTAATAATGGTCTGATTTGTTGACATGTTGTTTCATTTTTCACATACAGTATTTCCTTAAGACAGGATGTAAATTTTAACAATTATTTACATAACCACACAATGAATCATTAATTCTGGTGACTTGATTTCAATTAGCATATTTTTATTTTCTTGGTAATATACCAATGTGTTCTCACTGAAATGCACTAAAGATGACTGTACATCACTGAAATGTACTAATTCTGTGCTATTGTCATATTCCACTGCTTATTCTTCTCTTCTCTTAATCACAGGAGATTTCATCGTGGTGTGAAAGTTCGTCTACGTCTTCACGATTTGGAACTTGCTCAGCATTTTATTGGTGCTACTCATGATATCTCTCTATTAGAAGCAGATGCTACACTACTTGGACTTGCAGATAAACAATGAGAAAATAGAGTACCAAATAACTGTACAGATACGAGACTTGTAATTGTAGACTGGTACTATAAGTGTTTATAGGAACACGCTTTAAGTAATGTTGGAATATCTAGCAGGATGCATTGTCAATAGTGTAAAAGACTTTGGGAGAATCCTGTTAAACACAACTGAAAAAAAAAACACTGATATCAGAATACAGAGTGAAAAATGCTTGTTTTACATCAGTTTTTTTTTACTGCAAAGCTACACTCGTTTTGATAACGTCTTGGGTGTACCTCATTATGTTTGTGTATAAGTGTTGTTCAAGTTGATCTACTATGTAAAAGACAATAAATACAATATTCCACTTCTGTTCACTACGATATCCATCATTATGTATGAAATCATATCATTCCAGTGATGGAAAAACATAGTTTGAGATTCGCAAACGCAAAAGTATTTTTTGGATATGTGCTATACACATTTAATCCAAGATCTATGACTTGATGATGGTCAATAATTTAAATGAAGTAAGTATTTCTCAATGTCATATTCTCCTCAGAAAGATCATCATTTTGACATTCAGCTATGAATAAATTCATAATCAAATGAATCGTTTGATTTTTGCGGCAGACATTTGATCCCCCACCTTTCGCGCAATACGCAAGATCTCGAAGTGGACAGAAAATCACAGATTTAATGGTGACCAAATTCTCACTCTGACAGCTATTTTGATTTGACTTTTGGTTAAAAATTACAATGACACTCATTAGACTTGTTACAGTTTGCACTAGCAAGGACAAGTCAAGATGTGACACGGTCTTTGTTCATTTTGCAATTAAAGTTTGTACACATGTACTATACACCCTATGATACATCTTTACTTTGTGAATGCATTCATTCAAAACATACATGTATGTAAAATATTATAGTTATGTATCACAATTAAAATCTATCCATGAAGCCTAAGTTCTAGATCCCATAATGCCTTGGTATGCTTCTACTAGTGTACATGCATATGGCTCTGGAAACCCTTTCTTTAAAATAAGATAGCTGCCAATCAGCCATTTTGAATCAAAGCTATGAAATGAAGTCGTCAATGTTCCGTGAAGTACCAAGTTTGAGTTAAATCTATTCATGCACCACTGATTTGGTCATTTTGATTTGTTTTCACATAAGTACAAATGCTGCATTGTGGGATATGTGTTGTATATGATGTATGAAATGGCCTCCATCTTGAACTGAATAGCGAAACAAATACATTTGTATAAAAAACGAACTAATAAAGTGTTTACAGGATTTTGTTACGACTCTCTGCTTGTAAAAGAATCATACGATGAATAAGTGATTTGCTAACATTTTGCTGGCTATGTCAGTTTGCAATTTCATAGAAACCTCAAGAATTATTTTGGTTCTACATCAAAGTTTTTCCTCACGGTTTCTATTGTGTATTTCGATGCATAAGCTGCCACAATAACAAAGATTTACAAGATGAGAATATTCAACTGTTTTAAGATGCATTGAAGATGAAAATTAAAGTCGCTCGAATTTCAGGATTATTTTCCATATATAATATTGCATGAAGTACAACTAAATAGACTTTAGAAGCAAATAGCAATCAAGATTTCACTGAGCGAAAGGCCACAGTTGTTTTTGTTTCTCGAATAGCGTTATTCTCTTCAGTCATTGTGTCTATTGATACAAAAAATGGATGCAATGATGGAGAGATTAGACCATTTTTGGAGGAGCAAAAACAAATCTTGTATATTTGCTCCAAACAAGGTCTCGGCGGCCGTTTATGTCAAAGGTCAATAGCAAATCATTATTTAGATGTCACTTGTACAGAACGTAAGGCTACTCGTTAACAAATCATGTGACATTACTTTTGAATATCGTGTCCCATGCAAACCTTTCATTATGAAGTTTTAATAAAATTGACATGCTGAAAAAAACGGTTCATGATTTTGTTTTTCTTGGAGGGGAGGGGGCAAAACAAAATCTGTCGAAGAATGTTGGAGAAATGATTAGGGGCACAATAAAATAACACCAACATGGCTGCTAGTCAGCCATTTTGAATATAAAAAGACCTGCATCAAAATTCAATCTATGTATAAAGTTTGAACAAAATCACGCATGACTGAGACCGGTTCTGAAATGGTGGAAATGAATGATTTAAAATGGCTGCCATTCGGACATCTTGAATAGGAACATTACACAAATGTTCATAGAGTCCATAAACGTCAAAGGTCGGATTACCGCCAAACAAACACGACATTTGTTTGTGTCGCGGTATACCCGGCTTTCGCTATTTATACACTCTCATAATGTTTCATTTTATTGGAAAAACAACAACAAATAAACAAGCTCAATAAAATAAAAACACATTATTAGGCCACACCGACTTAATTTTATGAATGACATCCGCGCGCGCATTAGTTTTCGACTGTTCTCAAAAGAAAAGAAAAATCCGACGACGAGTCTCCACAGCGCCGGCTTGTCGTAAAACTCGTTTTGGACTACCTCAAAACGTGCCAATTTTGTCGTAAATGATTCCAACATGGCGACCAGGCCACCAAAATACGTGAGCATAAAAGTTCAGAGGAAAAACGGGAAGATTGTTGTAGACTGGTACGCAGATGTGACGTTTACACTGCTATACGAGAGACTGGTAGCGGCAAGCTAGTTTCGCCCAGACAACTTCAAGAACACATTGTCCAGAGTGGCTGTCCCACGTTTCCCCTTTCTTCATGAAGGCGCGACAATGTCATATAAATCAATATCGGATATATAAAATCTAATGAAATGTTGGCAGAGATGTCTAACTTATACATTTTTAGACATTATTAGACGCCCAGACAGACCTGTATAACTCAGACATTATTGGACGATTTTATCGATATTATCGATAATATCGGAGAAAAACGAACTGTCCCAATAGTTGCCTCGACAGACCTGTCTAACTTAGACATTTTTAGACATTGTTAGACGATATTATCGGTAATATCGCAGAAAAAACGAACTGTTCCAATAGTTGCCCAGACAGACCTGTCTAACTTAGACATTTTTAGACGATAATATTGGATAACGTTAAAAAGTGCAATGTCGCGCCTTCCTCCGTTTCTTCTGCAACTATGAGAGAAATGGGAGAGGAGTGGAGGTGTATGGTGGCCTAAAAGTCGGTCAGGCGACAAGTCGGTTAGTTATTGTCATAAAGTAGTGATACATTCCGCCTTGACTTGTACTGAAAATGGTGTTAATGCTGTACCTTGAATGCAGTGTTTCTGACTGAAGGTACTTCATCATGACTACATGTACTAGGCTTGTCTGAAATGGTTATACCTGTGACAGTAATTGTACATCAACATGTGCTTCCTACAAATAAAGACTTCTTGTTTTTTTGATACACTCTGTTCTGTGGTTCAATTCGTAATACCAGCCCCGTAGTCCTGTGGTTTTAGCAGCATTTTTTTTTTTTTTTTTGGCAGGATTTTTTTTTCGCCCTCTCGCATTAGTTTTGGGGTCTCCAGAGGATGTCATCCATCAGTGTGGCCTTATGATTGTTTGATATTAAACCACTCCTAGTTTATACAGCACATACAGATCAGACGTGGAGAATGTTTATTTGAGTCTCTGGCGGTTCTCATACTTGGAGTGAAAAAGAACACTTCATTTATGGGTATTTATGGAAAATTTGGCTGATTCCACTAGAAATGTAAATTCATCAAATTAAAAACTAAATACAATGTAATAATAACATCCCCAGTTAGCCAATCTCAATGAAGCAAACAAAGTAAGAACAAACATAGAGAATTAAAAACACTAAAAGTAAAAACTAAAAAACCTGTTTAAAGTGCACTGGAATGATGAAATAAATAATGACTCCGCAAAAAAAGAAGAAATAAAATAGAACCTACCGGAGAGAATTCAAAAATTTATTTCATTTCAGGGCTTGAAATAATATTATATTTATTGGGCCATTGAAGTTAAAAATAACTGACACGGATCGCATATTATGTTTGTATTTCATACATTGTTACTTGGTATTCTTGCCATATAAAGTTATGTTTTGGTTAGCCAGTGTCTTTCGTGTGTAGTTTGTTTTGTATTAGATTTCTTTATCTGGATTTTCATTGTCGGTGTTATGTATAACCAATGTAATTCCTTCCAAGGAATTTTACATGTTTCAATAAACTATTGATACAACATTAATAGGCAATGTTTAACCCGACCCAGTCCGAAAAATGCACATATCACGGTGCCATTGCACGACTGAGATCCGGTGCAATGATCGTGAAATTGTGCGATTTCGATACAATTTTGAAAATAAAATGGCTGCCATCGTTCAGCAACTTGAATCGGATCACTTAACAAATGCGCGTGCATATGTCCAACGTCTAATCGTATTCTAATCATATTTTCTCTATTGTAATACAAAATTCGATAGTAGTTCCGCCCACCGATCCGTGCTCGAAAACATAGCGCTGTACAAAAATATATGATATGTGGGTGTTTTCTCTGGGGGTGTTTTGTCCGGATACCGCTCTCTTTTCCAATATGATAGCATATGTAAAAAAAAAAAAACATCGACGCGACACCTTCTAATCTGGAAACGTGTGCAGACAATACGATTAGTCAGTTGATCGCCTTGTGAAATCACCAGCAATTATGTACATTGAGTCACAATAAACACAGTGACATATCACCCACAGACAGGGGAAGACTGCACACAATCTAGAAAACATAGTTACAACACATGTTGATCCGTTTCTCTTTCACAGCGCTTCCAGAACATGTATATAATTTGTCATAGATACACGGTGAATAAGTGATAACATAATAATGGAAGGAAAGCTCTAATAATGTACACCAACAACAACTACGTGTAATGCAATCTGAACAATAAAACCATGGCAACATTTCGTGAAAGTCGTCGACACTAGTCACAGCTGTCAATTCATTCACGAAATTGTTTTAAGGATTTTATTTTGGGTCAAGCTAATACTAATATTTGTTTCATTGTCGCTACATATACCTAGGATAAATAAAGTTAAATTCATAAATTTACGTGCGATAGTGTCTCGATTTGGTATGTCTAATTTTTGGCAATTTATGCTTTCGGGTAGGACAAGGTGTCATTGTAAGTTTATTGAAAATTATAGAGCCAATGAGATGAAGGTATGTTTTGTATTTACATGGTATTATAGCAATATTTTTTTAATACAGAATATGTTTATAAAATTGTCGTTTATATGCAAGTATTTGTTTTATTATATAAAAAAAACTAAAGGCTTTAAAACGGAGCAATTATAAATGCAAAGAAATGCATTACGTCTATATATGTACGTATTATACGAGTCGAGTTTCCGAAAGTCAAAACTTATGTTCTGCCACTGAGGGCGGCCTTGGACTACCGTTTCGTATTTTTGACCCATTTCTTCCTTTCCCGTGCTGCGTGGAAGGAAACCCACCTGGCTTTACCGGAAAATAACTGAGTAATGAATCACCTCCATGGCCTTGAGTTGAGTTTTACCTTCATTCTTATTCGATATTGTGCTCGTTGTTCGAATGCTGTCCATTTATCATATGCTGTATCGAGTTGGAATTGCCATGGGGGTCGCTATGGGAATTAGACAACCTTAACAACTTGATCACAAGGTGCTAGTGAAAAGGAAGATATCAAACACTGGAATTGTGACCAAATGTCATTCAGTACGACACCCATGGTTGTAAAAGGGTAGTAGTCGTCGCGCAGCGCTTGTTCGAATTTCATGTAAACAAACAACGTATTTTACACGCGTTGTATACGTCGCTATGAGTCCCATATCGAACAGGGCGCCGCGCGGCGACCACCGCTCATTAAACG